GCAATCATCTCGTGTGTACAAGAAGCGCCTACTTGTCTGCTTGTGAACATGGTGATTAACACACTAAATACAAAATTAATTTGAGTCGATTAAAAAAGCTTTTATATTAAATGAAAGGCCAAGAGGAAGGAATCATTAAAATAAAATAAAAAAATAGCAATCTACCGGTTATACATTGAGAAAATCGGAAAAGACAACCAATTCTTCAGTTGAATGAAAGCTATCTCTTCGCTGGAAGCTAGTTTGGCATGCGAAACAATTTTAAAAATGAGCCCAATAGTGTTTGCAGAACATTATTTCAATCATAAAATCAATCATTATATAATTTTACCCAAATTCCAAATTGAATTGGTCCGAAAGTAAGCTAAAAGTAATCAAAACAAAAGATTAAGTACTCAAGTTCTCGTCGCGACGTGAAACCCCACGTTCTCGCGTTCTGGACTCCGGGACGATGGCAAGTCACAGCGTGTTTGTACATACGCAGTGAGGACTGCAAAGAAATTTAATGTTTCCGGTTGCCGTCGTGAGGCAAGAAGATGATGCAGTTATATTATTTGATTCGTACTTCACATTCGAATTGAAGCTTGGGTGGCACAGGTTATTTCTTACGGTGGAATCGACGAGGGAAATTCGAACAGTAGTTGTAGTGTCTGAATTGTTGGTTGTGTCCTCATGTACCGGTACACAAAGGAACGAAACATTAACGAACTGCGTCACAACTCCATGTATGGATATGAAAACAATAGAAATTCCCCAGTGTACCGGTACACCAGGACAGCCCCGAATTGTTGGAAGAAATGGTCGCATGGGGATGTAGGAATGATAAGTTTGACGAACAATTTCAACTTTTGCCGCTTGAATTGAAAGTAAAGCTCATTTGAATTGCTTTCGTATGTGTTTCTGACGGTTTTACATCTACCTGCTAGATTTATAGCTGCTACGCTTCATGTTGACAAGTCCCTAGTCCCTCAAAATGGCGGCCAAACTTGGAGGTTGCCGAAAATTAGGTAAGTTCACGGAGTTATAAAGTTTTCGTAAAGGTCGGACGGTAAAGTTTTTTCTGTAGTTACCTTTTCTACGGCACTTACTTCCTAGCTATGTTAGTTGGATCAGTTAAGAACGTCTCTCTTTTTCACAAATTTACCTTGAATTTGATCGGTTTTCGCGTGTGTGACTCAGGCTAACCGATAGTGTCATTCAAGTCTATCTGTTTGCTTGATTGAAACGTGATGTTTACAAAAGTCGCCTCGATAGATAAGATAGAGTTAATATACATGTTTTTGGTATTTTTTTTTTTTGCTGAGTTCCGTAGTATTTTTGTAAATTGTCCTCCAAAGTTCTCTCAAATTAAGTCTTGAAAAATGTCACGACAGCTTCACTCGAGTGAAGTTTAATTTCCGTAAAACTTACAACACACAAGAAATGTGCTAAATCCGTCGACCGGACCGCTCTTACAGAGACACTCTCGTAAGACCGTGTCCGGCTGACGGATGTTTAGTCATTTAAATTAAAGCTAGTTTTTTCGTGCAGCGATTCTTTCGACGAAGAAAGGGGGCGCTCTTTCTTCACGCTTGCAGCGCAATTGTCTCTTCAAAAAATCTGTAAAAACCTTGAGACTTGACTTACTTACTCAAGACACCTTGAGGCAAATGATCGCACATTTTTCGCCGACGGTGGCACTGTTTACAAATACAAGCAGAAAACGCGTGAATTTCGTAAGCGCGATGCTAATCGAACACCGTCCTCCTCTTACTCTATACCAAAAATCGCTCATAATCTTTTCCTATATCGTTAATGCAAAATATGTATTTGAAATTGGGCGCTGAATTGCAAATTTACTCGAAAAATGGAAGGTACATTCACCCCAATGTTGTTGTTTATCTCGATAACCTTCACGCTAACACGTACCACTTCGCAAGGAAATATTATCAGCATACATCATAACATAGCTAGTAAGTTTGTGTTATCAAATTCAATTGCGCGAGCGTGTTTCATATTCCTTTATAAAATAATTCAAATAGTACGCGCGCTCTGATTGGCCATAAAACCATTTTACATGAGCGTATGTAAACACAGTTTTCATATTGAATCTTCTCGCAGAGTTCTCCCTGCTGTTTATTTAGCAGTAACTCGGTTTCTTTAAGTTCGTTTTGAGTACAGTACTGGAAGAAGAAGATTTTCCCAATTTTTTCTTTGGAGTTTAATTTTCCCAGTATTCAAGAAACGGCCGAAAAGCCAAATGAACAACAACAACAAGCACATCGCTTTCCTTCGTTGCAAGAAGAGGCTCTTTCATTAGTTATTTTATAAAAGAAATGTAAAATGGTTTCCGTGTTTACATAGCCTGATGTAAACACTTGGGAGGTTGGGTGGACACTCGATAAGCTGGAAATCACTCCGCTTCGCGTCTTGGTTCCCTACGCTTATCTCGTGTTCTCCCAACCTCCCGCGTGTTTACATCAGGCTATGTAAACACGGAAACCATTTTACATTTCTTCACTTGCGCACGCTCATGACGTCAGCAAACAAATCCCTCGAGAAAAAGATTTTCCATCGGGTTGAAAATGTTATAAAACAATTGGTTCATACGTCAGCTGTGCGTTCATCGAGATATGAAGCACTTGGGAAGTTTGGAGAGCACTCAAGAAGCTAGAGTTGCTCTAGGCTACGCCGCGAGCAACTCTTACGCATCTTTCGTGCTCTCCAAACTTCCCGCGTGCTTCATATCTCGATGAACGCACGCTGACATATGAACCAATTGTTAATTAGAGTGACGTCACGGAACAGGATTAGTATCGGGTTTGCATAGACGTTCCCTCGCTTCCATTCCACCATGGGAAGGGGAAAGCTACACGTAGGCTAGCATGGATGCCCTACAAAGCAGGGGATGGAACTTGGAGAAGAGCTTCGGGGAACAAAGTTGTTTGATCTGGGGTATATGCTGATCAAGGTTCTCCCTAAAATATGTTTTGAAAAGCAGTTTGGTGTAACCGCAGTTGAACTTGGATGAGTTAAAACGGTACTTACCACCAAGTTGTAGGTTCGTTATTTCATAAAATTTCGATTGTTTTAATTATTTTTCCAGGGAAAATAAAACAGAACTATGGTCCAAATTGGTAGATGTTTTAATTTCCATTCCTAGAGATGCTTTCATTAATTAATGCCAAATTTAAATAAAGAGTTATGCACTTCTCACTTATGACAAGGTGAGGATTCTTAAGTGTATAGTTTAAAAAACAACAAGTGTATTTCGCTTTCTTCAACTTTGTCTGGTCAAATAACAAGCTTGAGAATGATTCAACTTGTCTTGTGATTGTTTCATTCAGCTTCTAAATTTGTTCAGTTCATCGAACCTCTCCCCCCCCCTTCCTTTGCTCTTAAGTCAGAGAAATCTAAGTTTAATTTTTCGAAAGGAGAAATACAACTCAAATCTTAAAAATAAATGCGAGATACAGCTGAAAAGGTGTTTTATGGTAGCTGGTGCCGAATAGTGAATGGTATAGTAATCCGAAAGTCTCCAGCAACGTGTTCAGCAAAGTGTTGACGTTTTTCGCGAACTTTCGTTCGGGATTTCGATTTGCATATTTCGTTTACATCGCGTATTGCGCCACACAAAGAAGTGAATTCGTCACATTTCCGAAAACATTGAGAAATAAGAGTCTTCATGAAAAGGTCAAAAAGAGAAGTCACCATGTGGCAAATTCAAGAGAAAGCCAAAAAATATCGAGGGCAGAAGATTTGGTGAGGCGAAGAGACCGACCATGCTCTTCGGCGTCTTTGCTTTACGCAATGAATTTGTAGGAGTTCGTTTAACCGATTCGTTTTGCCTGGTGAGGTCGTGAGGTGAGCTTGTCTTGCTAGAAAAATTGAGCAGGAAAAAAAGAGCTTTCTTTGCTTGTCTTGCTTAAAAAATAGAGCAGAAATAAAGCATTCTTTGCTTGTCTTGCTGGAAAAATAGGGCAAAAAACAAATTAAGAACGAAATAAAATGAAACGAACATGTCTTTTAATTTTTGGTGCTTTATCAAAAAACTTCGCCAAACCATGTGATTTTCACATGAGGCACAAGCCTCCTCGCTAATGCATAATGATACTGATAATGATCACAATGATAAAGATACATTCATCTACCACCTTTTAATGTGCTCTATGAATAGACTTAGTTAATAGTGTCATTTCCAGAGGACTTCTTGCTTGTCTTTAGTACGAAAAATGGAGTCTCTCGTTCACCTCCAGCCAGAGAAAGATGAACATAAATCGTTCAAGATTCGCCCGATTACGACTGAGGAGGAAATGCAGAAGTTTGTAATAGAACCAATGGCGAAGGAAGGCTGGCGGCCGGGCTTAAAGGACGCCGAGTGTTTTCTCGCTTGTGACCCCACGGCAACTTTTGTTGGCGAACTGAACGGGAAACTAATAGCCACTGTAAGAATCTCAAAATATGGCGACAGCTTCGCTTTTATTGTAGCTTATCTTGTGGACAAGGAATATATAGGAAAGGGATACGGTTTGAAGATCTTCGATGCCGCCGTGTCAAGTGTGAAGCCAACCAGCAACACCGGATTATATGCTCTACTTCACCTTAAGAAAATGTACAAAAGAGGCGGATTCCGAAGTCACTTTTATGCGGTGCGCTATGACTTCCATCTCCCAACAGCCATGGCTTGTTTTCCAGTAATAGAGAAGAAAATCTCCGTAGAAGTCAAAGCTATAGAGGACGTAGAACTAGAGAACTTATTCCTGTACGATACGCATGTGTTTGGCTTCGAAAGTAGCGCGTTCTTATCGAGATTACTTCGTGTAGTGGGTACCCTCGGATATGAAGCCGTCAACCGTGAAGGCTCCACTGAGGGTTAAATTTCTGCCCGACCGATTTTTTTCAAAGAGGAAGGTAACGTAATAGGACCTCTGCTTGCGGATTCTAAAGCCATCGTAGAGAAGCTACTGAAGGCATTGTTCGAGAAGCTTCTTCATCGAGAGAAAGCTGCTCTATTGGTTCGCATGGATGCCTCAACAAAGCAAGGCATGGAACTTGGAGAAGAACTTCAAAGAAAAAAGGGATTTGATTTTGTGTACGTGGTTACAAAAGATCTCCCTAATACTGTTTGGAAAAGCAGTCTGGTGTTACTAACACTGACCTTGGATGAGATGATGAGGAATTTAAAACAAAGCTGTAGTTGTGTACCTCACGTAATGCTGTATTGGTGAATTTTGTTGGACACGACTCGTACACTGTTAAAGTGTGAATACCCAAAATCTGCATAATGTCCCACCTGGATATGTATGTCAGTACAATGTTTGCTAGTTACCCTTTGCCTTTGAGTGTACAAAACTGCGTTTCACAATTGGTGCTGCATGCTTTTATAGATTAATGTTTCCAACTTGCTTTTTATTGATTAATGCTAAATTAAGAGATTCTCAATGGAGTGATGGATTTTACACCCAACGGTTAAAATTATGGCCATTTTACGACTAACGGTTAATTTCTTCCTGTGACAATTAACAAAAAACGTTAAAAAGTTTATTGCAGCGACTTAAAAGCTGATTATCATCTTTCGTGCCTTAAAACACACTTACACCCTCGCTTTTGCCATAAGAGTTAAGCAATCAGGATTAATCTAGAGCGAGCGGCTTTTGAATGAGAAAGAGTAATTTGCTTTCGGCCACGTGAGAAGACACATAACAGCCTTAGATTTGCACTTTCAAAATGATGCATTGTAGGTGGGAAGTTTTTTTTGTGGTTAAATTTTTTCTAAGACTAACCGTTAAACTCTGTCTGTTTTAACGCCTAACGGCTAATTTTCAGTTCACGGTTAACTCCAATGGTACCCTCAATTAAAGTTAAGGATTCCTAACGTAAGTGAAATTTGAAACGTGCATTTGGCCTTTTAGAACAGTGTTTGATGCAAGAAAGAAAAAAAGCAACAGAGAAAACATTATGTCTATAAAAATCGGTCAAATCAAATACAATTTTGCCAACCCGAGGCAACTTATTTTCCTTAGAACTTGTTCATTCGTATGGCATACATTCGTATGGCATACATTCGTATGGCATACATTCGTATGGCATACATTCGTATGGCATACATTCGTATGGCATACATTCGTATGGCATACATTCGTATGGCATACATTTTCTCAAGTGGTAGAACGTTAAATGAAGTGTATTAGAGGTGTAGTAACATATTGTTTCAATTAAATATATTCAGGTGTTTTGTAAACCGTTGGGAACATATTTTTGTCGTCAAATGATGTGGTCCTAGGCGATTCAACTCATTCTGTGGTATTAACAACGAGCACAGTAATTTAGTGAATTAAATAGACGCCCTTCAAGCGCACACTTTGAGTCAAATTTCCTTGTGGGTGTAGGGATGAGTATGGAGCTGTTATTTCATTTTCAACGAACAGGTACTCCACCATAAGCGCCACAACATCTTAGGCTGCATATTTGTTATGCTCTGCAACAATCTTTCCTATATTTTTCGTTAATCTAGATTATTTTAAAATAAGTGATTAAAAAGCTTCTTGTTTAAAGGGATCCAGCCGAATTATGGCTCATAAAACGTGCACTTTCTACCATAACAGTTACGAAAGGAAAGGATCTGCCTCAAAGCTTACGAATGAAATTACGAAATGTTCACCTAAATTGGAAAGGTGCGAAGACATGTCATACTTGAAGGAATATTTTAAGGTGCAGCTAATGAGGAAATGTCTAACTTGAGGTGTATGACTTGTGGTAAACTCCGTTTGCTGATGACAGGCACGTCGGTTAACTTGCCATTTAGACCAGCGCTGGAAAATGTGAAACCATTCTTCATGTACAGTTGAATCGCTGGCACCAGTGTGGACGTTGTTTTTAAGAAAACCAATTTTATTCTATTTGTCTTGGCATGTGAGATAAGTTCATTAATCAGGTTTTTAGCGATCCCCATTCCTCTACAACTCGGCACAATGTACATGCGCTTGAGTTCATAGACGCCTTGTTCGAAGTTTTCCTCGTGAATGAGGCCCGCCATCCCAACAACTCTTCCATTCAACTCTGCTACCCACAAGTGCGACTGTTGAATCGACATGTAAGACTCCTCAATGTCCTTTAAATCACCTGATTTCAGTGTATGATTAATATAGAGCCAGCCTGTCAACTGTAAATGTATGTAGATGAATGCCAAAACCATGCATGCCATCACCACAACCACAACAAAGATCCATGCCGACCAAATCACTGCTGCAAGTATGCCAAACATGGCAGCCATGACAATATACCTTACCAGAAACGATAAATATATTAATGTGATACTTTTTATAAACTCTTGATATCCATCTTTAAAAATGTTTTGGCATGCTAATTGGTCCTTACGTTCGAATGAACGAATGATGGGCAAGATCCTGACTGTGTTGTTCTCGGTTAGTGATACCAACTTCTCTCTAGAGATTGACGGAGCCATTTGGAGCTGTGAAGAAAAAGATTTTGGCGGCGGTCGCATCAAACTTCATTAATTGAATCTAACGTCAATTACAAACCCATTTTGCTCTAAAGAGAAGTTAAAAAAATCGAAAACAATAGTGTTTTGCGAAGGGAGATGCCTAAAACTCGGGGATACCCAAAACACTTTGACAGCGGCGCTCAAATTTCGTCTCACTCCAAAGAAAGAGGCTAAGATGGACGAGGAAAATCCTACCATCGCACGTCAAACTAGACTAGCGGACTAAAGTATTTTTTTCCTGATGAAATTTTATCCTGGCATACCTTGCATATCATGGCAGCTTGTAGTTGAAGAAAACATGAATTTTTGTGTAGCCAAAATTTGGAAGCCTCGGAGGCAGGACATCGGGTCCTTCAAAGATTTTGCAAGTTACAAAAATTGAAAAGTTTTTCGAATCAAATGATTTTAAAAAATAGAAAAGCATGGATATTGATTATCACCGCTGAAAAAAGACAAAAAACGGCATAATAAACGATAAATCTAAAAAGAATTGTTCTCCCATTTTCAATTTTCCATTTCATTTTCCTATTCCTCATTTCTTAATCCTCGTTTTCCATTGAGCATTTCCCGTTCTCTATTCCCCATTCCTGCTTTTAGTAACGGTAGTAATTTGTCTTTTCATAAAATGTCCTATATTCTTATTTATTTATTTCTTCAACTTATAATTAATCGGACGAATTTGTATTTAAAATCTGCATTAATAAATGTCAGAAAATAATCCTCCCTTCTCGGTTTTTTATAATGTTATCCGTGGTTGTTTATCAGTTTTCAAAAATCAGATCTGGATTGTCAGGATCAAAAGAGATCCAAACAAAGACTTAAGAATAACAAGCTAGGAACGTTTAGAAGACAAAGGTTAGAAGTGTGCAGACAATCAAATTCGGAGGTTGAAATATGGCGCCAGTCCATCAAAGATCAGGAAAAGGCAGGGAAAAATAGATTTCTTCAATGTCAGGTGAACGTGACAACGTTAGAATGTTTTAATGGTCAATACAAAGCTATTCAAAAAAGTGGTCGTGCATCGTTTCCGGCGTGATGATTGTAGGAATGGTTGCCAAAGGAAGGTTGCCAAACTGGCGGGAAAAAGTCATGGAATAATGTTAGGTTAACGTGACCACATGACCGCATGACCACATAGCTAAAAAGGAACTTTGTGAAGACGACTCAGTAAGCAAAAGTCATTCTTATTAAAGTGAACCTTCAAACGATTCTGACTTTCAGTAAGCAATCCGGGATGGCATGAAAAAGACAATTTTGACATTCTGTCGGTCTTTCCCACTCTTGTTCATATTCTAAATTCAATTTTTTTTTCAACTTCATGGAACTTGGAAATGTTGTGTGGGTCTCTTGAAACTGGACAACATTCCTTGAAAATTCAGAAAAAAAAATTTAGACGTCAGGCGTAAAAATTGTCAAATTTTAACCGTTGGTGGTGAGAAAAGTTAACCATAAAACTTTCTTTTTATGCCCCAAAATCATCGCCCCATTGAGAATTTCTGACCGTTCTGCACATGTTTCTGAAATATCCATTTAACACAAATCTTAGTGATCGCCTGACATTTAATCGCCAATAAAATAGATAAACTTCCCTATTTGTTCCTAAAAATTCAACCACAGGGCATAAAAGAGTGGAATTACATGCAGTTACTTATCATGAACTACCCATAGATATTTTGATTATCTTAATTCGAGTTGCAATGGATCAATTTCAAATCTCCAGTTGTAGTGGATCAGTTTCAATATGACACAAAGAGGCAAACTAGTATATACACAGGCTTCTCAAGCTCAAGTCTGATGAAATTTTAAACAGCCATCTCATGGCTGCATATAAACCTTCCTTTGCATAAAATTGACAAGTATTTATTGTATAATAATGATAATTTTTGAAATAAACGACAAACGTTCATAAACTTGAAAAGCAGAGACAAATTGATATTTAAAATCACTTTAAACGATTCGCTTAGAAATTACAATTATTTTCGTTTCTTTGTCATCTCGCCACATAAATGCTTAAATTAATCACTACATGACATGTACAACGATTACATTGTGTAAAGGAAATAATACAGAGGATATCAAAGACTTCAATTCTACCCTCAACTTGAGAATAACCTTTGTCGATGGATGGCAAATGCGATTCAAGCAACTTAATTCAAATGAAGAAACTTCGAGATATTCAACGGTATTGCTAAATCAAACATTGTCCTAATGTTTATCAATAAAAACTTAAGAAAGATATCCCGCAAACGATAGAAAAGTCGGCCCAGGTAACTTAAACAGGTAATAGTTTCGGTAAATATGCGAGAACAAGGTGGGATATTTTTCTTTAAAAAAATATTTTTACAGATTCATTTGGCCGTCTGCCATGCCGAGGCACACTTAGCCCAGGAGGACATATTGAAATTCAAATGTTCTTAGAACGTTTTTAAGCAAAATATGTTTGTTGTTGCAGGTATTACACAGAATTTACTCTTCATTCAAGAAAGTATCGTACAGGTGGACATGGGGGGTTCTGGATATAAATAATAGAACAAACACCGGATCGCCGCAAGAAATATTATCAACACACCGACACCGCAAGATTTACTTGGTATAAGTGTTATTAATTTTTTTTTTTAAACGTCATTACCGTTACTACTATTTTACAGACATACAAAACACATCACAAGACATTCCTACCACGTTCTCCGCTTGTAAAATTCCTTGTTGTCGCCTACACTTCAAAGATGACTGCATAAATGACCGCAAAGATGATCCAAAGAAGTTACCGCTTCCAAATGGGTCAGTCGTGCATCCTCTGAAGTTAGAATATAATCCCACAAAATGTGAAATTTACAGTTTGCTTCCTTTGATGTCACGACTTTCTTTGTCCAGTTTTATGTTTCATATCCATTTTCTATTTCATGAGAAAAGCTTATATAGTTAGTCATCGTGGTGACTAACACTGATAGCTAAGTTTATCGTTTGTCTCCTGATGTAGTTAAAGAACTGGATAGTCCGCTGTCATTCATTGGTTTAACAACAGCTGCGATTGGCACATTTCCATTCCTGTTGCTTGGCAAAAGGTTCCGTCGCGGTCGACTCTCGTTCTTCCTTGCAAATAATCTTCGCTTTCGTCGCTGGCTCCTTGATTGTCTCTTGAAATTGGACAGCATTCCTTGGAAACTCATAACATATTACATTTGAGACTGATAAAAACCCAATAGTTATTTAGCCGTCAGGCTAAATAACTATTCGGTCAGAACAATTTCAACTTTTGCCGCTTGAATTGAAAGTAAAGCTCATTTGAATTGCTTTCGTATGTGTTTCTGACGGTTTTACATCTACCTGCTAGATTTATAGCTGCTACGCTTCATGTTGACAAGTCCCTAGTCCCTCAAAATGGCGGCCAAACTTGGAGGTTGCCGAAAATTAGGTAAGTTCACGGAGTTATAAAGTTTTCGTAAAGGTCGGACGGTAAAGTTTTTCTGTAGTTACCTTTTCTATGGCACTTACTTCCTAGCTATGTTAGTTGGATCAGTTAAGAACGTCTCTCTTTATCAAAAATTTACCTTGAATTTGATCGGTTTTCGCGTGTGTGACTCAGGCGAACCGATAGTGTCATTCAAGTCTATCTGTTTGCTTGATTGAAACGTGATGTTTACGAAAGTCGCCTCGATAGATAAGATAGAGTTAATATACATGTTTTTGGTAATTATGTTTTGCTGAGTTCCGTAGTATTTTTGTAAATTGTCCTCCAAAGTTGTCTCAAATTAAAGTCTTGAAAAATGTCACGACAGCTTCGCTCAAGTGAAGTTTAATTTCCGTAAAACTCTGAAAAATAAAGAGATCCGATCAAACGGATTGTGGTTTTAGTGTAGGTACATGAGTGTCTTACAACGCACAAGAAATGTGCTAAATCCGTCGACCGGACCGCTCTTACAGAGACACTCTCGTAAGACCGTGTCCGGCTGACGGATGTTTAGTCATTTAAATTAAAGCTAGTTTTTTCGTGCAGCGATTCTTTCGACGAAGAAAGGGGTCGCTCTTTCTTCACGCTTGCAGCGCAATTATCTCTTCAAAAAATCTGTAAAAACCTTGAGACTTGACTTACTTACTCAAGACACCTTGAGGCAAATGATCCCACATTTTTTGCCGACGGTGGCACTGTTTTCAAATACAAGCAGAAAACGCGTGGATTTCGTAAGCGCGATGTTAATCGAACACCGTCCTCCTCTTACTCTATACCAAAAATCGCTCATAATCTTTTCCTATATCCTTGATGCAAAATATGTATTTGAAATTGGGCGCTGAATTGCAAATTTACTCGAAAAATGGAAAGTAAATTCCCCCCAATGTTGTTGTTTATCTCGATAACCTTCACGCTAACACGTACCACTTCGCAAGGAAATATTATCAGCATACATTATAACATAGCTAGTAAATTTGTGTTATCAAATTCAATTGCGCGAGCGTGTTTCATATTCCTTTATAAAATAATTCAAATAGTATGCGCGCTCTGATTGGCCATAAAACCATTTTACATGAGCGTATGTAAACACGGTTTTCATATTGAATCTTCTCGCAGAGTTCTCCTTGCTATTTATTTAGCAGTAACTCGGTTTCTTTAAGTTCGTTTTGAGTACAGTACTGGAAGAAGAAGATTTTCCCAATTTTTCTTTGGAGTTTAATTTTCCCAGTATTCAAGAAACGGCCGAAAAGCCAAATGAACAACAACAACAAGCACGTCGCTTTCCTCCGTTGCAAGAAGAGGCTCTTTCATTAGTTATTTTATAAAAGAAATGTAAAATGGTTTCCGTGTTTACATAGCCTGATGTAAACACTTGGGAGGTTGGGTGAACACTCGATAAGCTGGAAATCACTCCGCTTCGCGTCGTGGTTCCCTACGCTTATCTCGTGTTCTCCCAACCTCCCGCGTGTTTCACTTGCGCACGCTCATGACGTCAGCAAACAAATCCCTCGAGAAAAAGATTTTCCATCGGGTTGAAAATGTTATAAAACAATTGGTTCATACGTCAGCTGTGCGTTCATCGAGATATGAAGCACTTGGGAAGTTTGGAGAGCACTTAAGAAGCTAGAGTTGCTCTCGGCTAAGCCTCGAGCAACTCTTACGCATCTTTCCCACGTGCTTCATATCTCGATGAACGCACGCTAAAAAGTAACTAATAACAAATGAAAGAGGAACGAAAACCGTGTTTACATACGCTCGTGTAAAATGGTTTTATGGCCAATCAGAGCGCGCGTACTATTTTAATTATTTATAAAATTCGATTGCGCGAGCGTGCTTCATATTCCTATTGTGCACGCTCATGACGTCAGCAAACAAATCGATAAAAAAACGATAAAAAAAAATTGAAAATGTTATTAAACAATTGGTTCATACGTCAGCTGCGCGTTCATCGAGATATGAAGCACTTGGAAAGTTTGGAGAGCACTCAAGAAGCTAGAGTTGCTCTCGGCTACGCCTCGAGAAGTCTTACGCATCTTTCGTGCTCTCCAAACTTCCCGCGTGCTTCATATCTAGATGAACGCACGCTGACATATGAACCAATTGTTAATTAGAGTGACGTCACGGAACAGGATTAGTATCGGGTTTGCATAGACGTTCCCTCGCTTCCATTCCACCATGGGAAGGGGAAAGCTACACGTAGGCTAGCATGGATGCCCTAACAAAGCAGGGGATGGAACTTGGAGAAGAGCTTCGGGGAACAAAGTTGTTTGATCTGGGGTATATGCTGATCAAGGTTCTCCCTAAAATATGTTTTGAAAAGCAGTTTGGTGTAACCGCAATTGAACTTGGATGAGTTAAAACGGTACTTACCACCAAGTTGTAGGTTCGTTATTTCATAAAATTTCAATTGTTTTAATTATTTTTCCAGGGAAAATAAAACAGAACTATGGTCCAAATTGGTAGATGTTTTAATTTCCATTCCTAGAGATGCTTTCATTAATTAATGCCAAATTTAAATAAAGAGTTATGCTCTTCTCACTCATGACAAGGTGAGGATTCTTAAGTGTATAGTTTAAAACACGACAAGTGTATTTCGCTTTCTTCAACTTTGTATGGTCAAATAACAAGCTTGAGAGTGATTCAACGATTCAACTTGTCTTGTGATTGTTTCATTCAGCTTCTAAATTTGTTAAGTTCATCGAACCTCTCCCACCCCCCCCCCTTCCTTTGCTCTTAAGTCAGAGAAATCTAAGTTTAATTTTTCGAAAGGAGAAATACAACTCAAATCTTAAAAAAAAATGCGAGATACAGCTGAAAAGGTGTTTTATGGTAGCTGGTGCCGAATAGTGAATGGTGTAGTAATCCGGAAGTCTCCAGCAACGTGTTCAGCAAAGTGTTGACGTTTTTCGCGAACTTTCGTTCGGGATTTCGGTTTGCATATTTCGTTTACATCGCGTATTGCACCACACAAAGAAGTGAATTTGTCACATTTCCGAAAACATTGAGAAATAAGAGTCTTCATGAAAAGGTCAAAAAGAGAAGTCACCATGTGGCAAATCCAAGAGAAAGCCAAAAAGATCGAGGGCAGAGGATTTGGTGAGGCGAAGAGACTGACCATGCTCTTCGGTGTCTTTGCTTTACGCAATGAATTTGTAGGAGTTCGTTTAACCGATTCGTTTTGCCTGGTGAGGAAGGAAAAAAAGAGCTTTCTTTGCTTGTCTTGCTTGAAAAATAGAGCAGAAATAAAGCATTCTTTGCATGTCTTGCTGGAGAAATAGGGCAAAAAACAAATTAAGAGCGAAATAAAATGAAACGAACATGTCTTTTAATTTTCGGTGCTTTATCAAAAAACTTCGCCAAACCATGTGATTTTCACATGAGGCACAAGCCTCCTCGCTAATGCATAATGAAACTGATAATGATCACAATGATAAAGATACATTCATCTACCACCTTTTAATGTGCTCTATAAATAGACCTAGTTAACATGATAATAGTGTCATTTCCAGAGGACATCTTGCTTGTCTTTAGTACGAAAAATGGAGTCTCTCGTTCACCTTCAGCTAGAGAAAGATGAACATAAATCGTTCAAGATTCGCCCGATTACGACTGAGAAGGAAATGCAAAGGTTTGTAATAGAACCAATGGCGAAGGAAGGCTGGCGGCCGGGCTTAAAAGACGCCGAGTGTTTTCTCGCTTGTGACCCCACGGCAGCTTTTGTTGGCGAACTGAACGGGAAACCCATAGCCACAGTAAGAATCTCAAAATATGGCGACAGCTTTGCTTTCATTGGAGCTTACCTGGTGGATAAGGAATATAGAGGAAAGGGATACGGCTTGAAGATCTTCAATGCCGCCGTGTCAAGTGTGAAGCCAACCAGCAACATCGGATTATATGCTTTCCTTCACCTTGAGAAAATGTACGAAAGAGGCGGATTCCGAAGTTACTTTTATGCAGCGCGCTATGACTTCCATCTCCCAACAGCCATGGCTTGTTTTCCAGGAATAGTGAAGAAAATCTCTGTAGAAGTAAAAGCTATAGAGGACGTAGAACTAGAGAACTTATTCCTGTACGATAGGCATGTTTTTGGCTTCGAACGTAGCGCGTTCTTATCGAGATTGCTTCGTGCAGCGGGTACCCTCGGATATGTGGCCGTCAACCGTGAAGGCTCCATTGTGGGTTACATTTCTGCCCGACCGACTTTTCTCAAAGAGGAAGGTTACTTAATAGGACCTCTGTTTGCGAATTCTAAAGCAATAGCACAGAGGCTACTGAAGGCATTGTTCGAGAAGCTTCTTCATCAAGAGAAAGCTGTCCCATTGGTTTGCATGGATGCTTCAACAAAGCAGGGCATGGAACTTGGAGAAGAACTTCAAGGAAAAAAGGTGTTTGATTTCGTGTACATGGTTACAAAGGATCTCCCTAATACCTGTTTGGAAAAGCAGTTTGGTGTTACTAACACTGACCTGGGATGAGATGATGAGAATTTAAAACAACGCTATAGGCGTGTACCTCACGTAATGCTGTATTGGGGAATTTTACTGGACACGACTCGTACACTATTAAAGTGTGAAAATCAAAAATCTGCATAATGTCCCACTTGGATATGTATCTCACTACAATGTATGCTAGCTACCCTTTGCCTTTCAGTGTACAAAACTGTGTTGCACAATAGGTGCTGCATGCTTTTATTGATTAATGCTAAATTAAGAGGGTCTTAATGGGGAGATGGCTTTTAGGGCCAGCGGTTGAAATTATGGTCATTTTACGGCTAACGATTAATTTCTTCCTGTGACAATTAACAAAAATGATAAAAAGTTCATTTCAGCTACTTAAAAGCTGATGATTATCTTTCGTGCTTTAAAACACACTTACACCCTGGCTTTTGCCATAAGAGTTAAGCAATCAGGATTAATCTAGAGCGAGCGGCTTTTGAATGATAAAGAGTAATTCGCTATTGGCCACGTGACAAGACATATAACAGCCCAAGATAATTTCACTTTCAAAATGATGCATTGTAGGTAGGAAGTTGTTTTTACGGTTAATTTTTTTCTGAGACCAACCGTTAAACTTTGTCTGTTTTAACACCTAACGGCTAATTTTCAGTTTACCGTTAATTTCATTGGTACCCTCAATTAATGTTGAGGATTCCTAACATTTTATAAAATAAGTCAAATAGTACGCGCGCTCTGATTGGCCATAAAACCACTCGATAAGCTGGAAACCACTCCGCTTCGCGTCGTGGTTTCCTACGCTTATCTCGTGTTCTCCCAACCTCCTGCGTGTTTACATCAGGCTATGTAAACACGGAAACCATTTTACATTTCTTCAATGATGAAAGAAAGAAAAAAAGCAACAAAGAAAACACTATGTCTGTAAAAATCGGTCAAATCAGATACGATTTTGCAAACCCGAGGCAACTTGTTTCCCTTAAAACTTGTTCATATACTTTCTCAAGTGGTAGAGCGTTAAATGAAGTGTATTGGAGGTGTATTAACATATTGTTTCAATTAAATATATTCAGGTGTTTTGGAAACCGTTGGAAACACATTTTTGGCGTCAAATGATGTGCTCCTTGGTGATTTAACTCGTTCTGTGGTATTAACAAATGATTAGTAAATTAAATAGACGCCCTTTAGGCGCGCACTCTGAGTCAAATTTCCTCGTTGGTGTAGGGATGAGTATGGAGCTGATATTTTCATTTTCCACGAACAGGTACCCACCATAAGCGCCACAACATATTAGGCTGCATATTTGTTATGCTTTGCAAAAAGCTTTCCTGTATTTTCCTTAATCTAGATTATTTTAAAATAAGTGAATAAAAGGCTTCTTGTTTAAAGGGATCCAGCTATGGCTCATAAAACGTGCACTTTCTACCACAACAGATACTAAAAGAAAGGTTCTGCCTCAAAGCTTGGGATGACATTACGAAATGTTCACCTAAACTGGAAAGGTGCGAAGACATGTTATACTTAAAGGAACATTTTAAGGTGCTGCTAATGAGGGAATGTCTAACTTGAGGTGTATGTCTTGTGGTAAACTCCGTTTGCTGATGACAGGCACGTCGGTTAACTTGCCATTTAAACTAGCGCTGGAAAATGTGAAACCATTCTTCATGTACAATTGGATCGCTGGCACCAGCGTAGACGTTGTTTTTAAGATAACCAATTTTATCCTATTTGTCTTGGCATGTGAGATTAGTTCATTAATCAGGTTTCTAGCGATCCCCTTTTTCCTACAATTCGGCACAACGTACATGCGCTTGAGTTCATAGACGCCTTGTTCGAAGTTTTCCTCGTGAATGAGGCCCACCATCCCAACAACTCTTCCATTCAACTCTGCTACCCACAAGTGCGACCGTTGAATCGACATGTAGGACTCCTCAATATCCTTTAAATCGCCTGATTTCAGTGTATGATTAATATAGAGCCAGCCTGTCAACTGTAAATATATGCCGATGAATGCCAAAACCATGCATGCCATCACCACAAACACAGCAAAGATCCATGCCGACCAAATCATTGCTGCAAGTATTGGAAACATAGCAGCCATGACAATGTACCTTACCAACAACGATAGATATGTTACTGTGATACTTTTTATAAACTCTTGATATCCATCCTTAAAAATGTTTTGGCATGCTAATTGGTCCTTACGTTCGAATGAACGAATGATGGGCAAGATCCTGACTGCGTTGTTCTCGGTAAGTGATACCAACTGCTCTCTAGAGATTGACGGAGCCATTTGGAGCTGTGGAGAAAAAAAATTTTGGCGGTAGTCGCATCAAACTTCACTTATTGTATCTTACGTCAATCACAAACCCCTTTCGCTCTAAAAAGAAATAAAGAAATCGAAAACAATAGTATTTAGGGAAGGGGGATGCCCAAAATGCGGGGATACCCAAAAATGTTTCATAAATACTTCAAATCGTAACATTTCATCCCCAAAATTCACTTAATGACAGTCAGATAAATAAATTTCACTTACCTTCGTTTTTCTATGTTGTCTCGAGTGATATCGGAGGGTTTTGGGTCGGTTAATTCTCCACTTTGCATTGATGCCCCTCCAAACGTAAGGAAAAAAAAACGGGGCGTGTAACTTCCAGGACCGCCTGGGCCGAAAGCGTAAAAAAAGCGTAAAAAAAAAAAAACGCCGAATTTCTTCCGCTTCCAAATGTCGCTCACCTCCTAGCCTTGGGCACGCTAAAAGACGAAGGAAAAAAAGTGTAAAAGCGAAGCCAAAGCGAAGCCAAAAAATCTAACCACCTCAAAAGCCTAACCGCCGTAGACTCATGATGTGGACCTACTAGTCTATCCAATCAGAACGCAGCTACTACTGACAACTTCGTTCCAATTGGCTAATATATTTTTTTTCCGGTTGCGGAACGGAAGTGGTAAAATAATAGTCTTAGGGGAACGCTGGTTTGTACCGTCTATCGACTGACACTTTACGCACTGGCGTGGGGAGGGTCTGGTGAAATCTGAGTTCCCTTAGTGATTAATTTGAATTTTAATACGGTTAATCGAAGGCTTATGATCTACCTCTTCATCATGTGTCGACGGCGGATGATAAGCGAATGTCGGAAATCGAGCAGGCTTTTGAGGTGGTTAGAGGTGGGCAACTGCACTGATTTTTGGCTTGGCTCTTACACGTTTATCGACTTAAGACAGGAGCCCATTACCTTGCTTAAGGTTACTTCCCACCTTCAGAGGCCGAAAAAATCCATTTTTCTTTTATTTGACTAAATTGAATTAAAACATTCAACCTAACGTTTCCAGAAATATTTAAGGGTAACCGAGTTATTTAGAAAAACGTTTTTTTTTTTTGATGAAAGTTAATAAATCAGGAAGGTGCCATAATCACGGACCTGGGCGAGTCCCTTGGAGGAATGTTTCGGAACCGCTCATGGTGGGGCTCGATTTTCATGTTATTTCCATATTTTTTTTACATCGCACACTTTACAAAATTCACACGTGGAAGCTCTTTGTTTATGAAAAAATCTTTGGTCATGGAAAAATCAAAAGTGGAAGAAAGTCCTTGGTAAAAAAAAAGGGAAAAAAATAGGCGCAAAGAAGAAAGAAAGAGTACCATTCTGTCAAGAAAAGAGAAGAATTCCTTTGTGAAAGCGACTGGTACCGGCGGAGTTTCACGCTAGCGTCCAGATTTCGAACAGACGATTCGCCGTCAAACCAAAACTTGCCCTACATGATGTTAAAAACGAGGTTCCTTTTCTTTATGCAAGTACCAGCTGTGATACAAAAGCATTAAAAGTCACCTCGAGTCGTAATTTTCAAAGCTATATGTCGATTCGTTGTCGTGCTCCTCAGCACATTTTCCGTTTTTGCCGCGGGTTTTCCTTTGCTTTTGGCAACTTTGCTCATTATTGTGTTGTCCTCCTCAACGCTCTTTGAGCGATCGAGATAAAAGATAAACTTGTCTGCAATGGGTTACTTTTCGCGGTAAATCTTGATCCATTGTCATTGACGCCAGGAGGTTCCGCTGTCCTATTGGTTTGCGGTTTCAGGAGGCGAGATAATCTCCGGACGTGGCGCGAGGTTGTTTGCGAACCTTTATGAGCTCGCATTTGATTTTGGGAGGAATGCAACCACTTCGAGCGAATTTATAGGGTATATGGATTTGACCGATTTTCGTCAAATTTCACCAAAACCCTTTAGGAATAATGACAAACGAAACCGTATCGGGAAATTTTGATATTTGAAATATTTGTCCCGTGGCGTCCATTTACGCAACACGACTCGCATATTTTTAGCTACTCCAACTTTAGATGCTGATATCTAGACAACCAATCAGAATATCAAAAAGTCCGACACGCTTTAACTGATTAATGCCTTGTGAATAAGACTGTGCAGTCATTTTGTTCGTGCTGTGGCATCCGATACCCGATAAATTCAATAGAAGAACCTTCGGTCGTTTCACGCCTTACCGGCTCCTTATCACTTCCCTAAAACAAATGTCGCTTAAATCATATTTTTATCGTAAACTGCAGTTATTAAGCTTTCTTCTGATATATAATTTGCCAGGAATTTAGTGAAACTAGCGCGCGTACGAATATTTTCCCGAAGGACGCCCGCGAAGGTGGGAAGTAACCTTAAGTTCGACGTTTGCAAATGTAGAGTGAAATTAAAGCGAAACCTAATGCATGCATTATGGCAATGTGGCCCCGAATACTTTCTCAGTGGGATAACGTGAAACGCATGCTTAGATTTGTTTCAGATTTTGGAAAATGACGGCTTGGAGAAGTACCTATGCTCGTAGGGATGTCAGATGAGCTTGAAGTCAGAGTACGAAGATGAAAGCCTGAGCAACTCGAAATCAGTCCAGAGTCGGATTTATCGGAAAGTTCAAGCGTATTGGGCTCCTTGCAAACTGTATCTCTTACCAAAACATGTCAGATACGCACAAGAATAAAGAAAAAAAGACCTCTGGATACTCGAAAAAGTTTCTTAAATCTTGCATGTGAGTATGTATTCCAAAGGTTGGCCCACCAACCAGTATTTCTTATGACACGGCGGCAAGATCGAGCGACCATTCTGTTGGAGTTTCGAGAGTTGGTCGAAATGCACAAGATAAGGAGGAGCATATGAATGCGTTTCCATATTTCTTCATGATATGAAAGCAAAGCATGTTGTGTTAATATCCTTCTTCTTTTTTCTGCTAGAATTCGATGTAAAAGAAGAACCCTTTTTCGTTGATCTATGGACGAATCCATGTCAGCCATCTTTCAGCTGACTTGACCCTAGTTTCCTAAAGCGATGTTTTCATAGACCACTGACTTAGAACGAATCAGCAGCTATTAAGTACGACGTTTGAACCAACTGTCGTGCTGGAATCGAGCTGAAGTCGAACTTAATATAAGTGAGTTCGACACGAAGATAGCACTACGTTTGAACCGGGCCTAAGAGTTTAGCTAGCGCATAAATAACAAACGTCACGCGGCCTCAAACCCATAGGGTTGTCTGCCTGTGGTACAACGATTGCTTTGCGTAAAGGAAATAACTCAGAGGATATCAAAGACTTCAAGTTTACCCACAACTTGAGAATAACCTTTGTCCATATTTGGCAAATGGGATGCAAACAACTTAAATTCAAACGAAGAACTTCGAGATATTAACGATATTTCCAAATCAAACATTGTCCTTAATGTTTATCAATAAAAACTGAAGAAAGATATGCCGCGAAGAATAAAAAGTCGACCGAGGTAACTTAAACTGGCAATATTTTAGGTAAAGAGGCGAGAACTAGGTGGGATATTTTCATTTAAAATGGTGTTCTTTCTACAGATTAATCTGGCCGTCTGCCATGCCAAGGCACGCTCAGCCAAGTAGGACATTGAAATACAAATGTACTAAGAACGTTTTTAAGCGAAAGATGTCTGTTCTTGCAGATATCACACAGAATTTACTCTTCATTCGAGAAAGTCTCTTAAGATATGGCACGATTCTCTACCGTAAGGCGACTACAAATGTTGCGGGTTTCCCAGCTTTTGCTCTCTAGTACTGCACCTACCTTTCATTTCAAGATAATTCTGAGTTGAAATGCCGATGCAACCACTCGATATTTTACCACACGCGTTATTGAGTATCTATTTACTGATGGAACCTCAGTCATATTCAAACATTTATCATTCCCAGAAATGTCGCAATCTCTGACCCTATGATAATGCTTCAGTATCTGTGATCACGCCTCCAGGAGGCTACCTAAGGGGAAGTTCTAATCCCCACGCACGAATTTAAAAAAATTCACCCGTCACGTATTTAAAAGGGAAACTGTTTACCTTCTTCTTCTTGTGTATAAGGTTGCATGGAAATTCTGAGCTTTGCACGAAATGAAAGAAAAAATTCAAGCATCTCGTACCTTTCAGGTAGGCATATCACGCCTTCATCCATAAGTCCATATTTTAATGCAAAATTATGAATCCAAACTTCCTACTTTGCGTTGATTTAACTGAAAATAGTTAGAGACCTGTCGGAAGGAATCGCTAAAAATGCCATAGCTTTCAAAATCATAGCCTGTCTGCTGCATGCTTTCCGGTCCTTTCGGAAAAAAATCTCAAGCTTACAACGGAAGCTTATGACGTAGATTAGAAGAAACTTCTGCTCACAGGCAGAAGCTTATGCGTGATTTGCTATTTTACAAGCGCATGACGCGTGATTTATAAGACTTACTAATTAGATGTCCGTGGTAGGTGAACGCTCTTTGATCTAGAAGAATACAATTCATTCAAAGTGAATAGATTCTTTACTGTTTACTTTGCTGAGCGGCTTCTCGATCTTTGTCAAAGAAAGAAAACTTTTCTGTCTTCTTGCTGACCTTTTCTTGACCTTTGATGTCTCTGATCTTCGTGGTAGGTCCAGAGGCATAGGTTAATACAGTTAAGATTTACACGAGGTGTAAATTATGACCTTCAGTGTTCCTTTTGTAGACCGCGTGGTCGTGGTTGTGCTTCAGATCGTATGCAGAAAGACCAGGAAGTAAACGAATCCATCGAATAAAAGATCTGAAAGAATGCCGACTTAAACGACCCAAACAGTTGTACGCAACGAAGCCCAAGTAAACGCTCTCGGAGCACAGGCAGCCCAAGCTCACGTCTGGAGAAAAAGCCAATGGTTAATTCATTAAAGCGTCACGGGTTGTGTGACTCGGTGTTAAGCTACGAGAGGAACCGTTGAAAATTTGAACACGTTATAAGTAATAGTATGGGTAACAAAATATGGTCGAAGTCGTCTTTTGACATGAATAACAGTGATGGTAAAGCAAGCTTAAAACGGCAGAAATCGCCAGAAATCGCCAGAAACGACGACGGATACACGAGATATGAGTAAGTTCTATTGATTTTACGTGTAAAATATTCATATTTCGAAATATTTATCGTTGTAAATCGACCATATTTTGTTCCCCATACTATTCCTTATAACGTGTTCAAATTTTCAACTGTCGGAAATGAGACTAAAGAATCTGTTATGTTCCGAAACTTCACGTTTTATTTTATAAAATCAACTTAATCTCCCTCTCTCTCTCACTGTTCTCTGTCTCACGCTCTGGTCTCTCGCATTTTAAATATATAATATGATCCTATTGTTCAATCATCTGTCACTTATCGCAAAAAGTCAACTGGATATCAATTAACGCTGAATAATCTCTCACACACTCCCCTGTTTTTGTCAACGGAGAAAAAACATTAGAATGGCACACTCGATAAAATTTGAAATGCAATGAACGAAACAGAAAGTTAGTCCAGTATATCAGTTCAGTGTTCCTAAATATCTCTAAACAGCATCAATGTTCGCGTCTTGAATGCGATAACGAGCGGCTACCGCTGCATCCCCCCTGGGTCTAAATGTCGGGGCTTCGGGGTTGAGCTGTAGAGGAGCCTGTACATTCTCCCGATCGCAGGACAGCTCCAGTGGGTAAAGGTGTTGTACCGCCCGTTCAAGTGTTCCTTTCCCCGTTCGAAGTTTGGCAGCCCGAACGATTCCGTCTCGTCCCGAAATCAGATCTTCCACGATTCCAATTTTCCATTTATTGCGATTTCGTTCCTCGTCCTTGATGATGACTACCTCTCCTTTGGCCAAGGGCGTGGTTTGACCCTTGTGTTTCATCCGGTGTCGTTCTCTCAACCCTCGTAAATATTCGGTAGTCCACTTGGTCCACAAAGCCTGCTTGCACCTTCGCAGATATTTAGCTCTTCTATGCAGATCAAATTCTCTTAGATGGTGTGGTTCCAGTTCTGGTAGCCAGTTTTGCCATTGTCGGAATATATCTTCTTCGGACGCCCACGGCGCGCGATGAGCCGTTTTAGACTTCTTAGGAATTCACTGGTTGCCAGGTTTGGTAGTACTTCCAGGAATAATCTTCGTGTAAGACTGCACGCGTACAATGCAAGATAGGCCTTTCCTTCTGTTTTGGCTCTGATACGGTACTTGATGGGCCCTGCAAAATTGACTCCGATAACCTCGAATGGGGTGCTCCCCTCTGTGCGGTCAGTGGGTAGCAGTCCAGGAGGTGGCGTTGCCAGTGCCATGGCCTGAAAACGCTTGCAGCCTGAACACGCCCTGAGAACTTGTTTTACGAGTGCCCTTAAACTCGGTACCCAGTATAGCTCTCGCACTTTGGTCATGGTAAGGGCCACTCCTCCGTGCAGTGTGTCGACATGTGATCGGTGAACTAGCTTAAGAGGGAAGGGCGAGGAGTCTGGCAGAAAGATGGGGTAATGGCCTTGAATTCTTCCCCTACACTCTAATATTTCCTCTTGGTTTCCTTGCACATTCAATTGTAAACGGTCTTCTTCAAATTTCTGGCTCGACTTTGCTTGTTGTTGAGATCGCTTGATCCAGAACGCTGTCTGTTTCTGTATTTCTTCAGTTGTAAGGGGACCAACGATTCTCTGTTTACGGACGGTTCTTATGTTTTGGAGGAATCTCCAGATCTAAGCACCCACTCGCAACACACGCCACAGCTCGCACTTCTCCAGCAGCGCATCGAAGGCGTCGTTGTTCTCTGTTTTCTCTACTGCTAAAGCAAACAACTCGCGCGTTTGTTTCACTTCTTCCGCTTTTGATTCTTGAGTAGATGTCGTTACAAGGTCTGGCGGCCAGTCCTGTGGTTTTGCTAACCAGCTTGGTCCCTGCCACCAAAGAGCTGTCAATCTACTAACATCTCCTCCCCGACTCCCCACGTCCGCTGGATTCTCCTCTGTTGGTACATGCCTCCAGTTTATTTCTTTTTCCTGAATCTTCCTCACTCGATTTCCCACGAACTGTTTGTATTCGCCATTACCACGGATCCAGTGCAGTGCGACTGTGCTATCCAGCCAACCATAGACACTTCTTACGGGAAAACCTTTCAGGACTTCTTTCACATTTTGTACTAGGTTCGCAGCCATATGTCCAGCCACTAGTTCTAATCGGGGAATCGTGAGTCCTTTCTTCGCGAGCCGCGACTTTGCCGTCACGAGGCCTCGATTCGTGCCTGATGGTTGCTCCACCACTGCATAAACCGCGGCTGCAACTCCTTTCCCGCTTGCGTCCCCGAATGTGTGTAAGTCGATTGATAATATCTTCCCTACATGCTTGACGACATTTCTTGGCGCGTTCACGTGCTCTGGAAGTCCTTACTCCCATTTCTTCCATTTGGCTTGTAAGTCACTTGGTAGGGGCCTATCTCACGCGATCTTCGTGTCGCAGGCATCTCTGTAGAGCATTTTTCTAGAGAGGGTCACGGGTGAAGCCAGACCGAGTGGATCGTAAATTTTTGCGACTTTTCCAAGGATACCTCTTTTTGTCGGCTCAGCGGTTGAAATCGGGAAGCTGACTTGAATTTCGTCCTTTTCTTTGTCCCAGGGGACTCCTAGCAGTTTTGATTCGCCCTTTCTGGTTCCCAGTTGTTGTTTGGCGTAGCTCTGAATTTCTTCATCTAAAGTCGCAGTTTCAACTTCTAGCTCCCGATCGTCGGAATGCCACTTGTGCAGCTTGAAAGTCGCCTCACCAAAGATGGTCGTGGCTGTCATCTTGATTTCTAACGCTTGTTCTGTTGTCTCCCCACCACTGATTAAATCATCCACGTACATACTGCGCTCTATCTCCTCTACTAATTCCGGGCTCACCATTTTGTATCGCTGTAGATGTTCTTTGATAACTGCGGCCAAGAGAAATGGAGACGGTGCCAAACCAAAGAGTACTCGAGTGAATCGCAAGGTTTCTACTTGTTTGCTTGCCAGAT